TTTTTATTTACTGCATATTTTATACGGCAAGTTCAAATTGGCAGACGATTGAAGGGCGTTATTCAATCATTTTGTAATGTAGATTTCACCCAAAACTGGTAGGAAAAGTGTAGATATTGAATAAAATCAAGTGTGAACCGAACCAGACACCCCGTAAATAGCAACTCTTTTTTTTATACACAGTAATATGACATTTTTAAAACGTACTAATTTCAGTGATTTTTTTTTATTTTTATGTTATCGAGTGTATTCAGAAACACCTAGAAAAAAACATGATACACAAAATACACAATCCTGAAACCAAAGGCCTATGGAAGAAAGAGGATACTAGCAATGGAGTATTAAAATGATTTTAATTACATCGACTATTTGTTTGTGAGGAATTCCGAGTGACAACCTTCTCATTAAATATAAAAACCACCTTCACATAAAAAAACATCAACATAACATAAAAAAAACCACCTTCACATGAAAAACCACCTTCACATAAAAAACCACCTTCACGTGAATAACCACCTTCACATGAAAAACCACCTTCACATGAAATAACCACAGCATAACATAAAAAAGCACCACCTTCACATGAAATAACCACAGCATAACATAATAAAGCACCATCTTCACATGAAATAACCACAGCATAACATAAAAAAGCACCATCTTCACATGAAATAACCACAGCATAGCATAATAAAGCACCATCTTCACATGAAATAACCACAGCATAACATAAATAAGCACCATCTTCTCATGAAATAACCACATAAGGCAGTTATGGCGTTCCATATATTTGGCTGTGAATATATTTATTGTTGATTGCTATAGAAGTACCGCCTGATGCTCTATCAGTCTGAGCATAATGGTTATACATACTATAGTTTTTAATATTGATCTTATCTGTTTCTTTCAAATGTGTCTCTTGTAAGCATAAAGCTATCGGGCAATGGTCCTGATTAAGTAATGATAATTCGTTAAAGTTAACTCTGAAACCTCGACAATTCCATTGTATAAATATAGGATGATTCATATTTATTTTTTGTTGTAGGAAATGGGAGATATCCTCCCTTTATTTTTATTGGGTGACACACTTCCGACCTGTGAGGAAGAATGACAAGGAGTAACATCCATTTCCTCTAGGGCCCCAAATTTATTATGAAGAGCGACGAGGTCGGTTGCCCCTTTTGGCAACCGATCTCTCGACTGCTTCTGATTGTTTTTTGAGGGAGATTTATTTTGTCTCCCGGATGATTTTGATTTACCTGCAGCTTCAGACTTTGATGCAGCCGTAGCTACAGGTTTCGGTGCAGCGACAGCTGCATGGCCTGCAGAAGCAGGTGATGAAGTAGATTTACCACTGTCAAATGACAAAGGTGCTACATGATCAGATGATGAGGTCTGCTGGAGAAAATCTTTCTCAGAGACCTGAGTAGATACTTCCTTCGAAGAGGATGAATTTACAAATGTTAAATGTGGTTTAGGAACGCTGTACATGTTTACTAATTTTTTAGCCTCCGGATATGGTATTCTTTTTTCTGTTTTAACTTTCTATAATTCTTTTTCTTTTTTCCATATCGGGCATTGTTTTGAAGACACCATGTGATCTCCCTTGCAGTTTTTGCATTTTGGCTTATTTTGACAGGTTTTTTCCGTCATGCCCCTCTTCACCACACCTGAAGCATGCTTCAGATCCTTTACAATTCATTTGCCAATGTCCAAATCGTTGACATATAAAACATCGCAAAGGATTGGGCACAAATGTTTCAATTCTCATTTGATAGAACCCAACTTTAATGTTTGTTGGGAGAGTTGGCATACAAAAGGTTAAAAGGTAAGTGTTTGTTGGTTCAACAACATCATTACGCTTTTTTGTGAATCGTTTTACAGAGATCACTCCCTGGGATTCCAATTCATGTAGGATTTCCTGTTCAGGAATGCCATCCAGGTCGTGATCCCTGTCAAACAAAATACCTTTGCTCTGGTTGAGTCCGCTATGGACCTTTCCAACTACAGGGATATCTGCCAACATTTTTAAAGCCAACAAAGAAGTTGAATGTGTTTTTTGGTAACTTCAATAAGAAGAGCACCAGGATTGAGTTGCTCAAAACTCTGGTTAAGTTTAACCACTGGTTAAATCTCTTATCCAGCGGTTAATTTCTAACCATTGGTTAAATTCCATTGCTCAAAATTTGTCCACTGGTTAAAGTTACTTGTCCAAAGGTTAATTTCATCTAACCACTGGTTAACTTTAGCACACCTAAGGGAGCTGTGCTAACTGTTAACCAGTGGTTAGTTATGGCTGCAAGGTTAGTCTTCGATTCCAACTTTGGCAGACGACAAAGAAAAGAAAGGGTATATAGACATTTCCATCACAATTTTGAAGAGGGGGAATTTTCATCTAGGTACAGATTTTCTAGAGAAACAGTAGCAGAAATTACATATATGCTGGAGCCGTATCTGTGCCGCCCAACACTGCGTTCTTATGCAATGACTGCACATGAACAAGTTTTAATGGCACTGAGATATTATGCGACTGGGGACAAAATGACAACAATTGGGGATACCATGGGTTTCCATGTTTCTAGCGTGTCCAGGAGTGTTAGGGATGTGTCAGCCGCACTGTGTGACATTGCTCCACAATATATCAAATGGCCCACAGATCCAGCAGAGAAGATGACCATTAAGCAGGGATTTTACTCCATTGCCTCATTCCCTGGAGTTATCGGGGCTGTAGATGGGACTCATATTCGAATCCAGTCCCCGAGAGAATATGAACATACCTATGTTAATAGAAAGGGGTTTCACTCCATAAATGTCCAGGGAATATGTGACCATACAGGTAATCTTAGAGCTGTGATATTTTACCAACGATACATTTTCCTCATTAGAAAACCCCCTCTTCTTCAATTCAATAATGGCCAAATGCCTGGAAGTACATGTGTAGGGTGAAAGTTTGAAAATGGTAATATTTCCATACGAGTTAAATATTCAAAGGTAAAGTGATAGACTGCGAATCAATAAATCCTTTTACTACTACAAATATAATAAGTTACATGTAACATACATGTAGTTAATATATCTAACTAGTGGTACCGCGAGCAGTAAACTCACTGAATGATACCCCCCCCCCTATAAATATATATGGCGAAAGTCCATGTTTTGCTCTTGGGGACCCCAAATAATTGTCAAATAAAAATGTACAATAAGCCTCTCAAATGCACTTTATAACAAAGACTCTGTGAAAGTTTCATTAGATTTCATTCAGTGGTAGAGGAGGACTTGCAGATATGAAATGGGAACCACAAAGCATAACGGAGGTACAGACAGACGGACGGATGTACAGGATATGGACGGAAGTGGACAGACAAACAGACATAAATCCCTATCACTATTTACCCTCCCACGTCTCATGCAAATATAATTATGATATTTCAAACACATTTTTGAAAGTCACATTGCTGGTTTATTATAGGGAAATTTTTGAATGTTTCTGCAAAGTGGCCAGGTTCGAACCACGACTCTTTTATTTTCCGGAGTTCGGACATCGGCATTCATTTAGAAGGAAACCATCGGGGTATTGATGTGGACGGGGTTCTTTTGGGAGATAGTGGGTATGCCTGCAGTAGGTACTTACTTACGCCATACCTGCGGCCTAGTACAAGGTATATGCATGTACCATTACTGATGTCAATGAAATAAAATTCATGAATAACTAAATTACTTTTCATTTAGAAAACTGTGAGCACTGGAAAAATTTAGAAAAACAGCGATATAATGGAACACTAAATTGGGCTATATTCTATTCATTTTTTAAGTTTCATGAATAATAGTAAGCAGACGAAGTTACTTTAATTCCAAGTTTAATGCATTATTTGTAATGCTGTGTATATTCTTTTAAAATTCTACACTTAGAGCACAAATAAAGTACAATGATGCTCATGCAAAAACTAGGGGTGTCGTGGAAAGGTGTTTTGGTTGGTGGAAGAGGCGTTTTATAGTGCTTCATGAAGAAAATAAAGTAAGCATCTTACAAATGAAACAAACAAACAAAAAAATCACTGATCTTGCTATGAACCTTTCCAATATAGTACATTTTACACATTCTCCTGACTAAAAAGATGATAATTATTTCAGGTATTGAGTTTTAATTTTAATGTTTTCACAATTTTTTCTTTCACTTTTTTAAAATTTTGATTCTTCAATAAATTCTACATGCTACCTTACCTGAATAATAATAACTTACTCTATACATACCTTAAGATAACACATCTCCAAATAATTAGATAGTACAAAGTAATTTTAAGAAAATATTCTGTTTAATTTTTTAATAGTTTTTATTTTTGGGAGGGGGGGTGTTAAGACATAGGGGTATCCTACTCTCATGTTCTAAAAGTTTTGACTAGCTAGTTTAAGTGTAGTGGTACGGTATGGTACTAGTATCCCCTCCCCTGCCTCCTCATTCTAAGTGCCTGAAAGTACCGAGTACACTAATACATACTTCAGTATTTATAGGACCATTCTATTAAATTTTAATATTCATTGACATTTAGTTACAGTTTGCATTTACTTAAACATATTTTTACAAATATGTTTTTTTGTGTTAGTGTGAACCAGGGCGGGTTGCAAAGATAGCGGTGGCTTGTGCTGTACTGCACAATATAGCTCTTCAGAGACATGAGCCAATGGAAGATGATATTAATGGCCCAGGAGACAATGGGGGAAATGACGGAGCAGTGCAGGGTCCCATCAATGATAATGTCAGGAGATTTATCACAGAGCATTATTTCAACTGAGTGTTCTCAAAATTTGATGAAATTTTATTAATGCAGCTAAAAACTGAATATTTAGAAATGTCAACAGTTTTTCAAACTAAGAAATACAACACAGAGAAATTTCATTTTTAAAAATATAAATCAAGAACAAGATGCCTATGGACCACAAAGCTCACCAAAGACACTCTGACCTTATTCTTAGTTTATCAGCAGACCCCCCCCCCCCTATATACTTCTGTATTTAACACTGATCCCCTATTGTAGTCTCATCCTACCCCAGGAGAAAATGATTTAAACAAACTTGGAACGGAAACTAAGTGGACCGACAGACCAACCGACAGACAGCAGAAAAACAATATACCCTCCCTTCTTCATAGGAGGGCTTACATAAAAATCATTAATGGTTCACTATTCGTATGAGAAGATTTTAAAAGCCCCCCTTTCTTATTCCTACATAAATATTTGATTCCCCACTGTGACCCCATCCAACCCAAGGGTCCTCATTTGTTTTTTATAATTCTAATAATTCTGAATTTTTTTTAATATAGGGTAAAAAATTGGAAAGTTTAGAATGACAACGATGACAACAACAAAGTATGATTAGAAAAAGCACTGACTTTGGCTCATGTGTGCTAAAAATTTAGGGTTCATTTATATTGCTAGGTTCATGATTAGCAATGTCCATTTTAAGCTTCTTGATTTCAAGATCCACTTTTGTCTTCTGGAGCTTAATCAATTCCCTCTGTTCCTTAATTCTCTCTAAATCCTCAAGCAGAACACGTCTTTGAAGATCTGACACCTTTAATTGTAATTCTGAACTGCCTGTTTCAATAGGTTTCCTCTTTCTTTTCTCTTCAGCTGAATTATTCAATGAAAATATGTCACTGTAAAGCATGCATAATTGAAATATAAATTTAATTTTCATAATTCATCCATATGATATGGTCAATTAAATGTGAATGATAACATTTATGAAAGTGTACCTGAACAATCAGACTTTCTAACAGTTGTCCCTGAATTGGATATTGTTACATTGAATGCAACAGGTGATCCTGTATAAATTAAACCACAAGATAATTTATATTGTTAATTGCTGACACCAATAATGTAAACATAAACATATAATAAATGTATATATTTTTTGTTTAAATTCAAACAATATAAATTCATTTCAAGCATATTCTGTTTTCATATTTATCAATGAGCAATAAAACTTTATTAATCAAATCCATACCTGAAGAATTTTCAGGAAGTTCAATGATTTGTTGGCTCTCACCTGTGTATAAGTAACAATCATTTTAATCTACATTGCAATAAAATTTCCCATATCTCCAGCAGATTTTAAATTTCTTTGATTTAAATTCCTTTGGATGTTTATATTCAATGTTTCTATAAAATCAGATATATATTTACAAAAGTGTCAATACCATTAGATGCTAAGGTCTCAAGCCCACATCCATTATAGGTGTTGCATGAACTTGTATTGCATGAGATCTGTGATTCTGAAATTAAAACAAATAAATATTAAATATTTATATGTACAATTATTGTAAAAAGTAGTTTACATACATTTGATAGAGTTATAACTGGAGATTGAAATTTTTCAGTTTGAGTTTCAGTCTCAAAGCTGGATTTTTTTTTACAGTTTTTTTTAAGTGAAAGAAAGTGATAAGTATAGTGTATTAATGTTTCTCAAAAGTCAAATTAAATTTATTCAATAAAATAATTTTTAAACTACCCAAAACTATTAATAATAGTTTTTAATTTATTTAACTGGTTGTGTATTACATTATTAGATATATGTTCAGAATATATATGATTTGCTTACCAAGACCTTCATTAACACAGTCACTATCTTCAGGTTTAGGAACTGATTTGTACATACATATAAATATTATAAAAAATGTCTACAATTTGTCTTCAAACAAACTGCCTACAGGGTAATTAAATTTTTTTTGTTGGATGTATATATTTTAAGTCTGTGAAAGATATAGTAAAAGCTTATAATTCAAATTAAATGAAATTTAATTTGACTTGTAGAAAACATTGTATGACAATAAAATTCTGACTAAAATTAAATAAAAGTGGTTCTAGTCTGTCCTTGATTTGTACTTTACTTTAATTTATTTGCCAGAAATAATTGTGCGTACATCGGCATGGAAAATCACCGACATTTGCACGGTGTAATGTCAAAGTGGTACGGACCGAATCATCATAGGAGCGAAATAGTTAATTTGACCATGACCTTTGTATTTGTTTTGGTGGATGCAGAAAGAATAAAAGCTTCTTATAGAATATGTTACAATGCATAGACAGTGTGCGGCGTTAGCAAAAAACGTAAAACTTGATCCCGTACGACTTTCAATGAATTCATCTAATATTTCTCACGGAAGTAAACGCCGTCGTTCCAGATTATAGTAAAATGCGAATTTCCTCGCCAGTTCATGCAGACGAAGGACCGAGTTGTGCCGAGATTTATGAAGACACAGAAAAATAATAAATAAAGGTTTGTCAAAATTACTTACCTGTTACATTAAATCCGCCAACCTCAATCCCACCTTGAAAGCCTGTGAAATTAGGGGAGTCCTCGTGAAGATCCAATATCTTTTGAGAAATGGCATCAAGAGGGGGATGAGGTGGCCCTCCACCAGTCTTTCTCCGATGAATCTTCTGGGTTACGTTATCCCCCTTTGCTTTTGAACAGGCCTTACGGTATTTCTCTTTGACCTGTTCAACGGTCCTATTTACACCACCCCGGGCATTAACAGCATCTGTGATGCTTTTCCACACACCTGCCTTCTTGGCATTTGTTATTTGATTAGTTTGTTTCGACTGAATAACATCTATATTCTCTTCAACCTTACTTATAATGAACAAAACATCATCAGTAGAGAAATTTTCACTTCTCTTTTTGGCAGCCATTGTTGACAGATGGACAAAGTATATTGCATTATGGGATACTATCCACTGGTTAAGTCATGCTAACCAATGGATAGTTAGCCTATGAACTAATTGCCCTTTGAGCAACAGAAATTTGACCAGTGGTTAAGTAGCCAATGGAAAATAAATTTGACCAATGGTTAGCTTAACCAGTGGTTAAATTTAACCAGAGTTTTGAGCAACCCAATCCAGATTTCAACTTTTTTTTTTACAGATTTGGGCGTACCAATAATTCCTTGTATACCTTTTTGTATAACAAAAGGTGATACTTTTGTAAGAGGCTTTGAATTTTGATCTGATAGCTGTGCTTCAAGCGTGATGAAGCGAGGCCAGTGTTCTACAACCGAGTTGAGTTGTTCATCGTTAAAAGTAATTTCTAATCCTGATGGGTAACAACGGTTTTTTTGAGTTCGAAGTAGCCATGGTTAGATGAAAAACGTTCAGAATCCTTGCTCCCCGCCCGCCTCGGAGCGCCAACAAGGGCGATATCTAGTCAAACGGATATCCAGTAAGACAGACACCAAGAGGATACAAAGAAACTATACTCAGACATGATATGCCTGATTGACCCTGAGCCACCGCTTAATATAAATATATCAACATGGAAACGTCGGCGTATTGGAAATTGCAAAATGAATCAGATATTTATAAAAAAATTGCAAAACATCAATACTTAGGCATGCAGATATTATCAGCTCGGCGTGACCAGCCGATTGATCAAGTCGGGCCAAACTTGACCTCCCGTCTAGATGAATATGGGACCAAAGTGGAGTGTTGGTCATGTCAGGTGCGTTACACCCAGCACCTGCAGACCTCAGCCACCAGGATCCCCTTCTCCACCAACACGGGTCGCAACCCACGGCCAACAGGTTGCCCCATTTAGTCGCCTTTTACGACATGGAAGGAGGTTCCGGGGACCTATTCTTGTCACCCCAGGTCCCCACGGGGGCTAGGTGGATTGAAAATCAATATTTTATTTCAATTTAATGTTTTTCACTGATGTCCAAGCTGAATATTGAATCTGCCCATTTCATTGTGTGACAATATTTCTGTGTGTTCATATTGACATCCTCACAATGTCAGGGGTTCAGAGTCAAATAGCAATGTGTTGACTCTGGACCCCTGATGTTGTGAGGATGATATATTAATAATTTTTTTTTAAGTTAAAGAAATTACATGCAAATGTATTTATTCTGATGATGTAATTTCAGGGGTGATGGATCATGTAAACATGTAGCAGCTGCACTTTTTGGAATTTTGGCCTTCAGCACAGATTTGCATGACAGCGCTGGTCCTTCGGTTACTGATGTGCCAGCCTACTGGACGGCTCCAAAAAGGGTTTGCAAACCAGTGGCTGTAGAAGATTTAGATATTAGGTACAGTGACAAAATAATAATAAAATTTTACTTTTAATATTTATTACTTAAGAAATAAGGTATCATTTTAAAAGTTTTATCGGGATGTAAATACGGGTTGGTCATGTGATCAAATCCCATAAAGCCCTTTGGTCTTTATGATAGATTTGATCACATGCCAACCCGTATTTACATCCCGATAAATTTTAAAAATGATACTTTTTTTGCTTATATGTACATTTGTGACTGATTTATTTCAAATAGTAAGGTACTAAAGTTTTAAACCCATAAATGATCTCTTTTTTTTTTTTTCAAAACTCAACGGTATAACTTGAATGTGTTGAACACGTCGATCACTTATGACGTCACTATGAAATTACGTAGATCGTTTATGACTAAACAATCAATTTATGGTCACATGACGAACGTGTTTTACACAGATGTAAAACACCTTGTTCAAATAGTGTTATATAAGGGAAAACATTTGCAAATGTAAATATAAGTACATAAAAAAACATTGTTTGGGTTAAAAATATATATTTAAAAACAGATGTTGGATTGATTTTAATAAATTTGGGGCATAATGACTTTAAGAGCTAGTTTTTTTTCCAAGGGGATATAATACTAGCTTGATAGATTGTTTGTTGTTTAACGTCCCATTCGAGAATTTTTCACTCATATAGAGACGTCACCATATACCGGTGAAGGATCAAATTTTTACCTTTACTCGGCACTTAGGGCCATTGAGCAGTGAGGGATCTTTATCGTGCCAACGCCTGCTGTGACACAGGGCCTTGGTTTTTAAGGTCTCATCCGAAGGACCCTATAATACTAGAGAATATTTATTTTTTTATAATACTAGAGAATATTGTAAAAATAAGTGTAGGATGGGGTCATTTGAAAATTTCTAGAAATACAAAACCAGATGTTTAAACTACAGTGAACGTATCCTTATATAATAAAGATTTAAGTGTATTAGCCATGTTAGTTGCTTATATTCATTAACTGCATGTCATCTTAATCTTGCAGAACTGATGTCACTACAACACGTGTAGATGGGCCCACAAATCAGGATGGATACTTCCCAATTCCACAAGACCAACTAGACAAAAAAAGATTGAAAAAGACATGGTGAAACTTTTGAAAAATTGTAATGTTCCTGGTGTTTTATTGTACACTTTATCAGATTCAGATCTAGAGGAAATGGAAAGAGATCGTCTAAAAAATGTAGTGGATTTGGGTAAAGAATCTGGTCATAGTAGTCTTTTTGAATATACATGTAAAAATATGACTCAAAGAAGTAACAGTTGGTCAAAGTTGTAATCAAATGTGGAAGTGCCAAAGGCTTGGGCGACTCACTGCATCCATGTTTTACAATGCTTACCATTACAAAGGGGGCAAAGAAAACAACAGCATTGTAAAATCCTGCCTCGGGAGGTATGGAGACTTCACTACCAATGCAACTCAATATGGAAATGAGAAGGAGTCCATTGCCAGAACTCAATATGTTGACAAGATGTTCAATACGCACACATCTTTTTTATGTGAAGAAACAGGACTTCACATAAATCCACAGTTCCCTTATTTAGGAGCATCCCCCGATGGACTTGTGAAGTGTAAATGTTGTCAGGAAGGTTTACTAGAAATTAAGTGTCCATTTTCAATTCGAGATTTGACACCTGAGGAAGCTATGATTAAACTTACCTCTTTTCGTGAAGCAAATGGAAAAATGGAACTGATACAGAGTGTAAATTCTCCATACTATTTTCAAATGTTAGAACAAATGGGGATCTGTAAGGCACCATATTGTGATCTGGTGCTGTACACTACCAAGGGCATTTATGTTGAAAGAGCTTTTTTTCAAATGAAGCATTATGGAACAATGTTGTATTGGAGCTGCAAGATTTTTATACAAGTTATATACTTCCTTCCATTTGATCCAACTAAGTGCACATGTATGTGATTATCAAAATATTGAGTATTAGATTTGTTTTGTCATCTTTAGTGTGTAGAAGTGATAATGAATAAAAACAAACAATCATAAATCATATTTAATCATTTTACATGTAATAGTGATACCCTATGTGGGAATAGTAAAACACGAATATAGCAAACATGCCTGATAAAACAAACTGTGCTCATAACGAAACAGTTACAGCGCTAGCGGTCTGTGGGCTGGCCCATAATTTTAAGCATTTTTACTTCAAACACATTTTGTTCAAGCTTTATACTTTCTCACTAGAGGGGGTAAAAGGTTATAAAAAGCAGCAGCTACTTTGAGCATCTGAGATGAAATGTTTTTCAGTTTTAGTGGAAGAATTTGTCCTAGCAGTTTAAATGATTTTAATCTTCGAATCGTCCTCTCAATGGGAATTCTAACTGAAGCAATTTTCCTAGTTTCTCGGATCTCTTTGGATGTCAAAACTCTCCCTTTTATGCTTCTATTAGAAACTCTTGTAAATGGACGCATGTTCAACTTTGCTCCCTTTTTAATCACTAGGTCCCGAATTTGAAAACCACGATGTGCCATGACTTCATAGGCATCTTGTAATTTGTCCAAGTATCCACTAAGTTCTGTGATTTTACGATCAGATATATTACCATACCACAGATTCGATACAAACGTAAATGCACCATTGGGTTGTATTGCAACTAAGGTTTTCAAAGTATTATGACTCTTGTAGTTGCTCCAAGTTGCAGCTTGAGCACTAGGATTTCTCGGTTTTTGTATGAAAATTTCAGTACAGCCGATAATTGATGTTGTTCAAGGATATTTTAGTTTAAAACTTAATGGCAAATGCTTTCTTATCTTTTCATTTGATGGCCATTTTAAAATCGGTTCAAGATATTGATATAAAAAAATTATCCAGGTGGTGAACATATTTGATATGTGACTGATTGCGACTCCAAACACATTTGATAATGTAATATTGTCTAATCCTAGTCTAAGTTTTAGCATAATAATAACAATCTCTTCCTTAAGACTGAGTTTTCTTTTCTTTCCTTGTTTTCTACGATTCTCAGTTTGTCACAGCTTTTCACCACCTTTGCTCGAGCCTTTCCATGAATTGACATTTTTGAAAAGATGAGAAATGAGGTTAATAAATCCTAGAAAAGATGCCAAAGATGGTAACCACAGATAATGTTTGACCGTTTTGTCTGATTCTGTAATTTTTGCAATCAACAGGTTTCTTAGATTCTCTGCATTATTCTCCAGTTTCCTCCTTAGTGACAGATTTTCCTCTTTCAGAATTATGTTTTCTTTTGTCAATCTAATACATTTCAACTGAAAGAATTGCAGTTTTGATTTAGTTTGAGACATTTGCATTCATTATTTTTTATTCCAGTTAATCAAGAATATTTAGATGTATATAATTGTGGTTTCATAATATCACTTTAGTCTGGTAAGTTTATAAAATGATATGGCTTCACTCTTTTGATTTGATAAAATAATGACGCTATATAAGTAATTTATGTAAATTATGGATGAAATTTATTGAAAATAAGATCAACAAAATACTGAATAAAGAGATAGTTTAATATCAATAAATCAATAAAGAACTATAAAGAACTATATAAAGAACTAAAACTAGATATAACTTCCAACAAAAATTCAAAGGGGCATTAAGAATATGATAAATTTTGCAATAAAAGAACAAAATACCAAAACAAAATTTGAACAAAATTTTACAACACATTTGTACCTCCAAAAGATCATTTTTGTTTTTAAGAAGTTCAATTTCTTCTTCCATACATCTTCATATCCATTTGATGAATAACAATGGTCATGTGGTACATTTTCTAAATGCGAATTCAGAACCACTAGAATTAATTGCAGTTAACTGGGAAACAGAAATATTGACTCAATCATATTGGGTTTTAATAATGAACACGCATATTTTTTTTACCTTGTTTTTCAATTACTATCATGGGTACTTGGCTGAAGCTCTCTGACTGTATTTCCATCTCCCCTGCTACATATGGGTAACAGAGATTTGTTTTTACAAACGCATCCTGCTTGACCAGTTTTATATTTACAACTGGTGTGATGTCAACCAGAGGTTCGTCTACATGCATAACCTGATTAATGTTGGGACTAACGTTATACCTCGTGACATTGGCGGGGATACATGCAGAATTATTTGTTTTGTGTGAAGTTTTCGAAGTTTATAGTTATTGTACCTGAAAAATGTTGGATACGGCTTTTCAGGAGTCGGTCTGCCATTAATAAAATGATTTGAACAAACAACCAAATGCCTCATGTCGCTTTTGGAGTTTTGTTTAATTTTTTTTTTTTGTTTATCCTTTCTTCTAGGCCGTCCCTTCTAATTAAATCCAGCCATTTCTTTCTAAAACTTTGAACTTTGGGAATTTGATGAAATACTAAATGTTTCGAATTAGTCGCCCTACCATCAGATGTACACCTCTCAGCTATACAATAAACTTTTGGCATACTGATCATATTCACCTTGAAGTCGTCTCTAGCGTAAACAATTTTATGCCCCGGAAATCTCACGAGATTTAGAGCTTCCTCGACTTTCCCGCAAAAGAGCGCCAGTAAGTTAGATAACCGCAAGGTAATCGCGATACTAAGTATTTACGCGTCATCGATTTGAGTTGAAATCATTCATAGATTCACAGGGATTATCTCAAAGTTTGTTAAAAAAGAAAATTGTATGAGATATATAGAAGTGAACACGTATAATTAGGGCCCCGCTCTACAGACGGACGGACGGACACCCTGACACTTTTCAAGCGGGGGGTATAATAAACATAACCAGTTGTATTTGTTGGAATAATTTTTAATTCTATTTAGGTGCAATGTAGAAAAAATAAATGACAGGTACATATATTGGATCTATTTTTAAAAGGGGGGATCATAAGGGGAAAAACTGACAATTTACCTGAAAAGAAACCTTTGACTAGCCCCACACCCCTCCCTCACCCAAGATTCTATGTACTTAAATGTTATGTTCTTATGAGTGGAAGTCAAATATCAAAATATATGTGGATGCATCTGAAATTGACAAGTAGCAAAATAGTTGATTTTCTGTAGGACTTTGTTGTTTTGTGAATCAATAGGGTTCCGAGTAGGTCTATATATCATACCATTTTAATCATACCTGATTTCTTACAATATTTTGTAGGTTATTGACACGCAGCAAAAAGGACAGTACAGAATCAAAGCCGTCACTCCAGTTCATTGATACTGACGCTGAGAAAGCAAGTGTGAAAGGCATTCCCAACATTTCATCTCTGAACATTTCATCTTTGGGTTCAGCCCTGATGGATTGCGAGTATGGAAGGCATACAATATTGGGCCAGGTAGCAACTTAATTTCTAAAACTTCATTTGATGCACGAGGGGTGATCAAAAAGTTCGCAACCTAATTGAATTAATTCGATAAAAGAAATGAAATTAGGTTTCAGTGTTCATTATTTTTTAATGTAGTCCTCTCCGATTTAAATGCACATCTGCCACTGTTCTGCCCATGTGAATGAGCTTGGTGACCATCCCAACCCAAGTTCTCTGTCTTATAAGTGTCGTTTATCCATTGTGGATAAAGTATGGGCGCCTTTGTTTTATCATATCTGATATGTTTAAAGTCTAAAGTAATCGATATTTTAGGGATTTATTAGGGTCTTCCGTCTTCTGCGGAAGACCCTTCTATTATTCTATTGTTGATTTTTCACTTTTCTTTTTATTATTATTATTCTTTTTTTTTCCTTACCGATTTTGTGCAGAAGATTTCTCGGAGATCTCTCGATCGATTTGCTTCAAATTTTCAGGGTTAATGCGTTGCTATCTGAAGTTTATAACGCCGCTTCAGTTTCTGAAAAATCACTTCCGGTCAGAAGTTATCGCCCTTTGATCGATTTTTACATATAGACCTTGTGTCTGCACAAAAACTCAAGAACGACAAATGCTAGAGTGTTGACACTTTCAGTGGTGATAGAGGACATATTCTAGATGTGCACCTTGGTTTTGTATGGAAGCTCGGTAGGGGTCGAAATTTAGGACGTGATTTATGAGTGAATTTTAGAGACATTTCTTATAATAACATTTTAAATAGAAGTATTTTGTTAAAACATATTGAACAAAAAGTCTTTAAAATCACAAGACCTTTTATTTGATATCAAGAAAATGGGGCTGACCCCTCAAATTAGGGGCTCAGAAGGGCCAAAAGTCTTTAATCTATAACTCTTTAATGATGAATATTTTGTTATAAGTTATTGAAGCAAAAATGTTCATCTTAACATTCTGCAACTATATATAATAAAATTTTGATCATATGTTACGTAATAAGGGGTCGCAAGGGGCCAAAATGCTAAAACTTTGACACTATATATCTCGAAAAGGGGAAATATTTTGATAAGCACTTTTGAACAAAAGATGTTCAGAATTATGTTCTAAACAATATACATCCTTTTAATTTTTGCAAGACATCCCCATTAAGGAGTTGGAGGGTTGGCCCCTAAATATTGTTATTCTATATATCTCTTAAACGAAAGGAAATTTCTGAATAGTTGTTGAACAAAAAGTCTTTAAAATCACAAGACCTTTTATTTGATATCAAGAAAAAGGAGCTGACCCTCAAATGAGGGGCTCAGAAGAGCCAAAAGTCTTTCATCTATAACTCTTTAATGATGAATATTTTGTTATAAATTACTGAAGCAAAAATGTTTATCTTAACATTCTGCAACTATATATTATAAAATTTTGATCATATGTTACGTAATAAGGGGCCAGAATGCTAAATCTTTGACACCTCGAACAAGGGGAAATATTTTGATAAGCAATAATGAACAAAAGAAGCTCAGAATAATGTTTTAAACAATATGCATCCTTTCACTTTTTACAGACGAATATCTCAGTCAAGATCTTGACTAATCTTATCCAAAATCAGACGGAAGACCCACTCGTTGCTCGCAACGAGCACCATCTAGTTAATTATATTATTGTTAAGATATTCAACTATTCTTCAAACTGTAACTTGGTGATCTTTTATAACAAATTGCTCAACTAAGGACATCTCTTCCCCAGCTTGCTTTCATTGGGCAACAGTCATACATCATTTTAAACCATCTCCCTTCCTTCCCTCAAACAATCAATCCAATTAATGATAGAAATTCTGGCAAGTCCTTTGTCTTCATAAACCTTGTACAAATTATTATATGCTACTGCAAAGGAATTTCCAAGATACACGTTTAACTTTACAGTCGTTCGTTTCTCGAGTACGACTGATTCAACCATTTTTGGTCATAAGTCACCTACATGTTGACGTCAGTTTCACATTGTGACATTACAAACATGGATCAAAACATTGCATAACATCTGCTATTTATAGAACATCTGTACGACTATATGTGTGCCAAATTTCATTCTGATCTGAATTGTGGATTTGTTAAATAGAGATAGTTCGCAAACTTTTTGATCACCCCTCATATGTTGCAAATGTTTTCTCAAAACCAAGTCAAAAACCTTAACGGTTTAGATTCTGAGTTTTCTAAAGCAGCTGGTAATATAATCTTAAAGATGATGCACTGATTTATGCACTCTTTTCAGGTTATTTATTTATATGGGCTGTAGTAAAAGTAAAATGGAATGTTATTATTCTTAATGTGATTATTATACATTAACTAATTAAAATAATAAAAAAATATTAAATATTATTTTCTAGGAAAATTATTACCATGGACAACTACAACTGTGCCATTTATGCAGTTAAAAGTCATCAAGACTTGGAAAAATGAAATAAATCCTGCTGTTCTTTCTCCAGGTATATACATGTACATTTTAAAATTTTCAAGCTGTATGTTAAGCTCGCCTACATAAAGGTTCAATTAAGCATTTCTGAATAGCATGTTTCTATCATGTTTACTCCAATACACAGTGCATATTGGTCATAGAATATTGTTTTGCATATCAGGCAGTTGTAATGTCACATTGGCTTTTGCATGAAAGTTATGAAGAAAAATAAAATGAATTATAAATTTATAGAAACAGTCTGTGTAAAATACATAATAGTAACTAGTATAGTAACTAGTATGTGTAAAACATGATAAAAAGAAACTCCCATATAGTTTATGGTTGAATATGTTATTTATCCAACTGGTAAGTTTTATCTCCTTTGCAAGGATCAGGGATAAAAAAAATGTACAACTTGAAAAATCCAGCTACCAACTATATCTTTTATTAATGGAATCAAATCATATGATGAGGTTTATACTTGGTTGTTTTATTCATTTGATTAATGTAAATAATGAACACTTTGTACTCTACACAGTTTACATTTCATTTCAGATGATGAGATCGAGACTACAGAAAGAAATGAATTCTCCGAGACGGTACCAAAAAAAGGAAAACGGTAGATCATGTGTTTAGTTGTGCCAATATTAATGAGAACTGCGACGGATCATTTCGTTCCTTAACATCTCTGGACAATCACAATCTCCTAGGTAACTGTAGTGACAGATCAGAGAGAAACCTTATAGATAGGTGCAACATTATATATCAAAACAAGTTGTCAGCTTTGAATACAACTTGTCCATCATATGATGAAGGCATCATAACAGCGGAATGAACAGAGCCAATCAAACCAACTGGATGGGCATTGAAAACGAAAAAGCCTAACTAAAGGTTTTGTTTACTGAAGACCAAAAAGAATACCTTACCGCAATATTCAAGACAGGCAAAATTACTGGAAAAAAGGAGGATCCAAGTAAAGTGGCGAAAGACACGCATATATACTTGTAAATGGAAAAAGCGTTTCAGAATGGAGGATTACTTAACAAAAATACAAGTAGCAATTTTTTTAAAACTCTCTCAGAAAGACAGAAAATGTGATGCTGGAGATTTCTTGGCAGCATCTTTTGATAGGAATTTGAATGATCTGAAAGAAGTTTTTTCACATGTATGTTTCAATTGCTAATACATGTATATTAATGAGGGAATACATGTGCTTTTCCCATTCTGTTACACATTTTTGTTAAACATTTTCTATTATTTTCAAAATCTGATAGTCATTGATATTTTCATTATGCTAGGGGAACTTGATTTTAATGATCTTTTGTGTACATTTTCATCTAGCTGTGAAGAGCAGAATAATGAGTTCTGATATCTCTTATGTATCATGTTTCTTGAGGTTCATAAATCTTTTAAGTCAAGAAAACATTGTTTGCATGTGTATTACAATTTGCATTTCTCCTCGTATCTTGCTAAATATTTCAATACACCCTGAAATATAGCAACATTTCATTTTATCGCAAATTAAGTGGCAAAACACACTAGTCTTGATTTCATGCCATGATTTCTCTTATGTGCAATGTTTCTTCATGAATCTTTTGATGCATTTAAAAAGGTCTAGATTCTGCTAATACACTGTTGACTATTGCATTCATTCCATGTATCCCCCCTTTTTTGTAATTGAAAGTTCTAGAAATAATCCTGTCATTTTTAAACACAATGCAGATGGGTTAAAAACAACTCTGGCAAGAACTATACGTAAACTTGTATATTTAATGTATATGTGAGTTAGTACAAACGACGTTTATACATACAGACCTATGTATTAAAAAAAAAGGCAGTTCTAACATGTTGAAATATTTCTATGAAGAATAAGGATTCTACCAAATGTAGATATTGAATGAATTAGAAATCGACATTTTTTTAATTTAGTAAACTTTAATACATAAAATACAAAAAAGGTACAATATAGGTATCTTTCAATTTGTTAAAATATTTATCAAGGATCAGTACTTATCATCGTATACAAACCGATTAATTTATTTTTCCAGTGCATGTGTATTATATTTAGTTTTTTTTTCTGTAAAGGATATAATTTCAAAAGTTTTACATGTATTACCTGTAGAAAAAAGCATTAATATTAAAACTGTAGTCTTGCAAATGATGGATGGATTTGCAGACTGATCACGGACTGTACTGTTTACAATTACATACCGAGTATTTCAAAAATCGATAATGTCGAGTCAAACCTTGACTGCACAAAGTATCGGCATCGTACCAATCTCATTTGCTCTGGGCTCAACATTTCTTCTTTATATATATATATATATATATATATATATATATATATATATATATATATATATATATATATATATTTATAGAAGAATACGATCATGTCATAAACTCAGGGATTCTATTGCTATATCGCTTTTACAGCAATATGTGTGTTTCCGATCGGGAAAACGAAACTTCAAAGACGCTGACATTTTCAGTGGTTTGCGTTTATCATGGACTTCAATACCACTGGCCCCGTGTTTAATTTTGGGGATTCACCTTAGGGATATTCCCCACATACGTGTCATATATCTTTCTTTAGCAGAATATTATAGACTTAATCAAAATTTTTATTCTAAGCAGAAATGTCATTGTTAATAAATTGCTCTATTCTATTGTTGTAATGACATTTATTACACAAAACAAAACAGTTAACAAATACACAAATATACACAGATAACGAGCGCACACAGCAGCAAGTTATTATGTATGTGAGGCGCACACAGCAGCCCCAGACCGCACACAGCAGGTCGAAATAGTTCACAGTGGTTACCCGTAGGTTCTTACACAGAATGGCGTCTTCTTTTTAATAATACACAAAAAGGCGTGACGTCATACGCACACATACACATAAGAGGTTCAACACGGGAATACATCCACGGGCTCAGCACAGGATACATATAACGAATTTACTACATTCCCCCCTGTTCCAAAGAATTGATCCTATCCGGGACCTGAAATAAAAACAAATAATGCGGCAAGTCACCGCATTGCAAGAATTATGTGATATACAATAAACATGAAGCAATGAATTAAATACAATAAAGGCACTTCAGGTTATGTTGTCTTCTTTAGCTCTGCAATTCTCTCCGCAACTGGCAAAAGGGCCCATGGAGTATTGATATTCATACGGGAAGTTGGTGGCAAGTGTGGGGCATCTGACTCAAGTAAAATCCTACTCATGGGTATGGCACGAAGAGCATCTGCTGTTTCAAACAACCCAAGGAGGCTAGAAGTGAAGCCGAATTTTGCATTTGGCAATCGGTCCATCCATTCAACGGCTTCTTCCGTACTCCCGATGAAACAGTGCCTGTGAATTCGCAAGTCTGTCAGGCCCAACTCCTCTAAAATAGAAAGAAATTCTTTAGCTGCATACCCGGAGTGTAGGTCTCGGCAGTGCACCACTAGTGTGAGGTTTCTGTCTTTAGCTACAGGAAGAATTTCTCTCAGGAAGGATCGTTGGCACGCAAGCGAATCCCTCTTGCATTGCTGTAGGCTACGGCATCTGGGACTACAGCGGCAGGATGTTGTAAAGTCAAGGCCAACCTCTCCTAAACCAACACAACCAGGCTCACTCAGAAGTTCCCGCAGCTGCACTATGGAGAACTCACTCTTCACAATGTGGGGATGGAGACCAAAGGTAAGGTAGATCCTTGGATCCTTAACCTGCTGACGGAATCGCTCCCAGTGATCTGGAAATACATAGTTAGCAATTGCCACATCAAGTTGAAAGTCAGAGTCACCATATTTATCCTCTAATGCAGCAAAATCCCTGAGTCCCGTTCGCGAAAGTAGGATGTCCAGATGGAAATGTGAATCCCCAAAATGTTGTTTGAGTGGATCTGGCTGACTAAGAGAAACAGCTGGTACTACTAAGTCTCCAGAAAAAGTTGTCTCTTGTATGGTTGAAAGCACATCTCTCTGCCCAGCAGGTAACAGGAGCTGTAGAAGATTACAGATGACCCTCCAATGGACGAGTGAAGCCACAGATGTCGGCGGATGGATGGAAAAACAATTGGACCTGGCAAGACCATTAGCATCCTCAAATAGGTTAAGTAACTCAATCTCACCATCAGTGAAGTCTGACGCTGCAGGATTCGTAACCTCCACATAAAGATGCTGCTCAATCAAGAAACAGAGAAGGTTGTCCAGAGACCCCAGTCCAATATGGAAACATATCCGGTGAAGCAAACCGTTCACTAGAGTGACCCAACGACGTCTATTGGCCTCATTAAACAAAACACCCTCGGGATGGCCCTCGGCATTGGTATGCTTAGCTCTAAGAAAACACTGCTTCCCTTCCTGAACCCCACATTTCCAGCATGCTGTCAAGGCCCCAAAATACCAAGGAAGGTGAGTGCGTAAAACATGGGGCTTTATAGCTGGTGTCCTGGCAGTGCACAATGGACACTTCCGTCCAGACAGTTTCTTCGACTTCTGTGATGTTGTTACTGCACTATCCTCCATATCTTCTTCATAGTCTGGCACAAAAAACGCTTCTTCCATATAATCGGACATCTTCTTATACAAAAATAGACACTGCTAAATATTACATCATCAAATAACAAAAAACTATTATTAGTACCTTATTGAGATAAATAACCTCAATAAGTTTTGACTTCATGCCTGCCTGGCACCATAAAACCAAATAAAAAGAGAACAACTTCTAATTATACATAATCTTCCAGACGAGCGGGTTTCTTGATCTTCCTTCCTGCCCTAGTTGTACCAGTGGATTCTTGAATTTTCTCCAGGTCACCAACAATGTCCTGATCATTTGTCTCTATAACTGTATCATCTGTTTCACTTGAATCCTCCAGGCTGTCATCTGTATTAATGAATGTGTTCTCCTCACTATCGACACCAGGTGAGCTCTCATCCCCTTCAAAATATTTGTTCCTTAATCGCCGTATCCACAATGGCAATTCCCTGTCATTGCATCTCTTTAATTTGTCATGATGTAGAGTAAATCGTCTCTCTTTCTGATCTACAACAGTGTATAATGGTGGATCTGCTGAAATGACAAGGTAGGGACCCCTTCAGGGTGACTGTAACTTGCGACTCTGTCCTACTGTTGTTGCCTCATTTAGCCTGTAGACGATATCTCCTTCGGTATATGTCCTTTCATTTAGCTTCAAATCGTATAGGCGTTTCTGCCTTCTCTGTACGCTGTCAAGTTGCTTCCTTGCAAACGAGTGTGCCTCCATCATAATCTTGTCCAGATGCCTCACCCATTCATCTGGCTCATATTCAGTCAACGTAAGACTTGCCATTCCAGTCACAATATCAGGTGGCAAAATAACTTCACGTCCAAGCATGAGTCTGTTAGGCGTATATCCTGTGGAACGGTTCTCTGTTGAATGAAGGGCCATTACTAGTAGAGGTAAGTCGACATCCCAAGTTCTTACTTTGCCCTCTATGTAACAACGAATCATCTGAAGGAGGACCCTATTATATCGTTCAACCTGTCCATTCGAAGATGGTAGATAAGATGTCGTCCTTGTCTTAGATATCTGTAAGGCATTACACATAGCCTTGAACAGGTCCCCGTCAAAATTACGGCCTTGATCTGTGTGGACGGAGAGTGGACACCCAAATGTCACAATGAAGTGGAGAAGGAACTCCTTGGCTATTAGCTGAGCAGTTTGATTTGGAAGTGCTACACACTCAATCCACTTCGTAAACTGGTCTATCATAACAAGGACATACACATTTCCTCGTTCACTAGGTGTAAATGGTCCTAGAATATCTAAATGTACGCGCTCCATTGGGTACCCTGCATGGTGGCGCTGAAGAGGAGCTTTTGGCTTGACTGATGACTTCTTATTTTTGTTGCATATAGAACATGACTGGACATATTCTCGGCAGTCTTGGGACATTCGATACCACATGTATTGTTGCTTGACGCGCTGCAATGTTTTATCTTGCCCCAAATGCGCTGCTGACTTCATATCATGACAACAGTAGAGGACTTCTTCTTGCATGGTCCTTGGTACCAGTAAGCAAAGTCTTCGGTTGGAATCATCCCGCCAAGAATAGAAGAGTA